CAAGTTTTATTTCCAATACATTGCTCAAGTCTAAGTATGTGGGGTATGTGAATCTTTCTGTTTTTATAAGTGGCCCACTGTTTTTTGCACTATTTCTCGATTTTCTATGCTTACCACGGGTTCTTTTTAGGTCTTCTCCAAGTCTGATATCCACATGTTTAACAAAATCTGTGTTGCTTTATATATTCCAAAAAAGTCCAAAGATGCTGTTTTGCTGTGTTGTTTATATCATCAGATGTGGTTTGTTGTGCTTTTTTAAGCCGTCAAGGAAGACGTGGGTACCTGGTTTTGTGTTCAGGAAGCATGTTTTGTGCTTTCTACGTGGTTGTTATGTAGCTCAACTGTTTTTCTCAAAATATGCTTCTTCTGCATGCCATGAATGTAAAAAAGGGCAGTTAGCTTGTCTTCAGGAGATCAATATCCCAGAGAATCTCAGACGGAATTTTCAGAGCCCAGACCAGGTTATTATGAAAGTTTGGAAAGATGTATTTGGTTCAGCACTTGCAGATGCAAATAAATCAACCTCTCATACTAATAATGATAATTATAATGATAATGATAATAATGGCAGCACCTTTAAGTTTACCAACAATGGGTACAGTGTCTGTTGTAATATTGGTAATTATATTGGGGCAGCCCTTTGTTACATATTTAAATTTATACTGTTCTTAATTTTGTTCATTTTAGATTTAGCACTTTCTTCTCCCATTGTTTCGTTTTGTTTCCTAAGGGTTTGGTTTACAGTCCATAGTGGCAAATTCAGCAGGTGCATACAGTTCTTGTTCCTTTTGTTTCAGTTTTTTTTCATAAACTGTTCTGTTGCATGGGCAGTATATATATCATTTTGTTGTTCTGTGTCACTGGAAGTAGCTGTTGCAAGTCTCTTTGTGACTGGTGCTAAGTATTTTATAGAAACGTTATTAACATATGCCACCATTATTTTATTCTGGTATGTTGTACTGGACTATTACAGGTCATTCACTGACGAGTATAATAATCTAGACTTGATGCTATATAAGACTTGCATAGCTGATCATAAAGAACAGCTTGAGCAGTACCAGAGAGGTGATGGAAAAGTTTACTTTCCAGAAGATCTTGTTATGTCTGTACACAAGTTGATTCCTTTGGGAGATAATATAAGAAGTTTGATTAAAACCTTAATGTGTTGTTTTGTTAGTTTTATTCTCATGATGTCAGGCTTAACAGGGACTGAACTGCCTAACACTAAAATTATGTCAGTTGCTGTAACAGTGATGGCTATAGTTCCTCCTGTACTGAAATGGTTATTTTCTGACAAAGAAAAATTTAAAGAACTTAAAGATGCAGACTTGGAACAAATAGTAAAGACACATGTACAGGAGTATTTCAAAGAAAAAAAGGATTAAATAATTTAATATTTTACAATGGCAAAGAGACTGCTTTTGAGCCAGCTGGTTTTTCTTTTCTTTTTTACGTTCTATTTAAACTGGAAAAGATACTAGGCTTATACGATGAATGTGTCCAATATAAAGACAATAGGGCCATTTAGATGAGAAAAATAAGCCATGGCTTACATAAGATGCAANAAAGGATTAAATAATTTAATATTTTACAATGGCAAAGAGACTGCTTTTGAGCCAGCTGGTTTTTCTTTTCTTTTTTACGTTCTATTTAAACTGGAAAAGATACTAGGCTTATACGATGAATGTGTCCAATAAAGTGTTATAAAGTAATAAAGTGTTTGTACAAAATATGGTCTAACACGTTGTCTGTGGCTTGCTGAAGCTGTGAACAACTGTCGTGCATGCGTTATTTTTGTTATTTTAGCTCAGAATTCCTTTTGTATTTTCTCCTGTCCGTTTGCTTTAAGTGAAAAATGGTTAGCAAGTGTGGCTTCAGCCAGCAGTTTAGTTGCCCAAACTTCACTTTGAAACCACTAGGATGACAGCCATCTCTTGCAAACTGTTCAGCAAGGTTTACAACTTTCTTTGATAAGTTGATTTTTCTGAACACTTTTGCCAATCTTGACTGGAATTTTAATTTGAAATGAATTAGACATGTGAAATATGGCGTTTCTTCATTGGTGAAGCCAATAAAATTGTTAAGCTTTTTTGCTCACTCGAAACATAAAAATGTAATTACCCCAGACGAAGAAAACGAGGAACAAAAACAAATAAATTATGTCATCATGGGACCTGTTGGCCTTGAATATAAACTGTGAACCATTTATAGGAGCAGTTGGCACCTTATGTAAGCCAGGGCCAGAGTAAGCCATTGCCAACTTTCTCTTGCATAAACAGCTCTATGGTCATTGTTAAACTATCAAGTGCAACCTGTGTAATAGATTAATAGGGATATAGAATGGTACCTCCAGAAACCCTGGGTCTTGGAAAATTTTGGCCTAATCTGAAAATCTCAGAAGCATTTTTGATGGGTCTCAAAGTCTTGTTTGCAGGTGGTTTTTGCATCCGGGAGTCTCTAAATGTTTTTGCAGACAGGTCTTGGAGTATCGGATTAGTCTTTTTTCTTTCTGTTTGGTCTTCAGGAGTCAAATTTTTCAGAGTTTATGTGGGCACAGTTTATCAAACTGAGCTAGTAGGTTAAGACAGTAAAACAAGACAAAGCAGTATCTTGGTATGCTTCAACTAGCTTCCATTGCCATTTTCAGTTATTTCATTCACCTTTATTTGCACCATTATCTTGAAATTATCAGTGCTTAGAGTCTCTGGCTTGGATTATGTAGAAGTCTCAGGCTCGGAATTGATAAAAACGCTTAAATCTCAGTCTTGAGTTTTGAAACCAGGGCCTCGAATTTACCATTCTATACCCCTGTATTAATAAAATAGTTTCAAGGGATGTTTGTTCTCTTACATAGGTACTGTTCAAGATACATCAGTGTCTTTAAAAACACCTATACAAAATGATATTTTACACTGTGTGTGCATGAACTATATCAGGCCTGTAGGGTAGGGCACTTGGTGGCTTTGGACAACCCCCTGCCCAAGTACAATGTACCTGAAAATGCCTGAAAAGGTGTGGTCTATTGTAAAGACATCAGAGATGTTCTTCTGTAAAGAATTGGTAGTCAGTTGTTGAGGACATTATCCTTTTTTAATACAATTTACATTTTTTACATTTTGTCGAGTATTCAATGCAAGTTTTCTTGCTGCAGCAAATTGAGCATAAGGCATGTTGTATGTACAGGAAATGTAAAGTATTGAAGTCGTACTTGTGTTAATATCTATCAACATTGTGACAATGTTTGTTTAGCTCTTTTGTATTGCTCACTTGTAAATTACTATAAGAGCTTAATTTATAGCTTATGACTTGTATAAGCCTAAAACAATAAAATTGTTGTGAAGTACATGTAAGTAAGTATTTGTAAGTAATAAACAATGTCAATTGCAATAATTGGTATGTTCTTTTGAGTTTAAATTTACTAAGGAGAGTCCTTATTTTACGTTGGTGGTTCAAAGAAGTCATCTGACTAACAAACCTAAGACCAGCAGTGCGCCCATTTTAC